GAGGTCACCCGCGGCCCGCTGCGCGCGTCACCGGGCGCCGACGGCGACGGCGGCGGCGGCGACGACGTCGTGGACGGCGATGGCGACGACGACGACGACGACGACGGCGACGACGACGACGACGACGACGACGACGACGACGACGACGACGACGACGACGGCGACGACGACGACGACGACGACGACGACGACGACGACGACGACGACGACGACGACGACGACGACGACGACGACGACGACGACGACGACGACGACGACGACGACTGCGACGACGGCGATTGTCGACTGCGCAGGTGCGTGCCGAGCTCCCAGGCCCCGCGCGGCGGACACCACGAGGCGGGGCGGCTGCCGGCCCTGCCCCGAGGAGCGCGGCCCGAGGCTCGTGGCCCCTCCTCGGGGGCCCCCGGAGGCCTCTCCAGAGCTCGGCCCCTCCTCGGGGGGCCCCTCCTCGGGGGCCCCTCCTCGGAGGCCTCCTCGGGGGCCCCTCCTCGGGGGCCCTCCTCGGGGCCCCTCCTCGGGAGCGAGAGGCTCGTGGCTCGTGGCCCCTCCTCGGGCCTCCGGGGGCCTCTCCGGAGCTTCGGCGGCGCAGCTCTTGCGCAGCAGGGGGCCCCGAGGGGTCTGGATCCCTTCCTCCGGGTCTGTTTGTCGTCCGGGGCAGCTTGTGATGGCGCGGGGCCCGGCGGGGGCTCCCAGATGCAGAAGCAACATTTCTTTCATTTGCATGGAGAGAGGTCTGGATCCCTTCCTCCGGGTCTGTTTGTCGTTCGGGGCAGCTTGTGATGGCGCGGGGCCCGGCGGGGGCTCCCAGATGTAGGATCAGCATCTGTTTGCCGGCATGGAGAGAGGCCCTAAGCATCAAGGCTGTCTGATGAGGCACATCACCGGCACGGCGCGGCAGTTGTGTGGCATGCTGAGAACCACGGTCGGCACGGCGCGGCCTTCTTTCCGCATTCCCGGAGCCAGGGACGGCACGGCGAGGCGCGCGGGCACGGCACGGCAGCGCAACTTTTTCGCATGTTCGAGATCAAGCGCGGCACAACACGGCACGGCACGCGGGCACGGCACGGCACGGCATGGCATTTTTTCAAGTTCTCGGTATCAAGCACGGCATAGCAAGGCACTGCACGCGGGCACGTCACAACACGGCCCCTGTTTCGCATTCTCGAAGCCAAGCTCGGCTCGGCGCGGCAGGGCACTGCGCGCGGGCACGGCGCAGCATGCCAATTCTTTCGTATTCTCGACACCACGCGCGGCACGGCACGGTTCGCAGGCACGGCATGGCACGGTGTTTTTTCGGGGTCGTGCTTTCGAAGAGAATCGCGTCACGGCACGGCCATGTGTTCGCATTCTTGAAGCCAAGCACGGCACGGCACGACACGGCGATTCTTCCCCATTCTCGAAACCAAGACGTCACGGCACGCGGGGACGCACGGCTCGGCACGACACGGCAGCCCATTCGGAAGCGCTGCCCACGAGAGCTGACTGGAAATGGAAAGCAGAGACGCATGTAGTGAAACAGAGCGGTCAAAGAGAGGCAGGTGCGCGACGCTTGGGCGAGGTGCGCCACGCGTGCCAGGGGCGCCACGCGCGCCAGGCACTCCTGGGGCCAGCGCGTGCCAGGCACACCTGGTGCGCCAGATGCGCCACGTGCTCCGAGTGCGCCAGGTGTGTCACACACTCCAGCCGCGCCAGGTGCGCAACGTTCGAGGCACATGTAGAGTGGCTCAGGTGCGCCTGCGCACGTGACAGGACACATCGGGAAACATGTCGGCCCCCACCATTCTTGTCGAGAACCAATGCCCATCATTTTGTCTGGTGGACCTGCGCACAGCAGCCCGCGCGCCACCACCCCCGCCGTCCCTGTCGAAAACCACTTGACACTGATAGCGGGGTGGCCGCGCATGGTTTAGATTTTGCCGCGAGTGGCATTTTGTATTGATTTTTGTCAGGGATGGTAGCCCTGCGCGCAGCAGGGAATCTGCAGACACCCCCTTCGTCCCTGTCAAAAGCAATACAAAGTGCTCGCGGGCCTCACGAACATGAGTCAAGACTTTACGCCAACGATGTATTGTTTTTTGGCAGGGGTGGTGGGGGCCGCATCTGGTTGGCCGCGCATGCTCCAAATGTGGAGGCAGAGTGCGTTTTGTAGTGTTCTTTGACAGGGATTGTGGGGGGGGGCCCGCATGGGGTTGGCCGGGTGGGGGAGGGTGTGTGTGTGTGTGTGTGTGTGTGTGTTAATAGGGAGTAGTGGTAATGCCCTCCCCGGCGGGGAAGAGGTTCTTCTGGACGAGGAGAGGACGGTCTCGTTAGACCGTCTGTCGCCCAGAGGGCCGGCGAGATTTTTCCGCGCTCAAACTGGCCAAGCACGGCACGGCACGCCGCGGCACGGCACGCGGGCACGGCACGGCACGGCAAACCCCACCGTATCCTCATAGCCAGGCACGGCACGGCAGGGCACGGCACGGGTGCTCCTTTCGAGCTCTCGGCACCAAGCACGGCA